ATCTCGGCTCACTGCAATTTCTGCCTCCCAGACTCAAGTGATTCTCCCACTGAACCCTCTGAAGTAGCTGGGGCTACAGGCATATGCCACCATGCCTGGCTAGCGTTTTTGTATCTTTTTTTCTTTCTTTTCTTTTTCTTTTTTTTTTTTGAGACGGAGTCTTGCTCTGTCGCCCAGGCTGGAGTGCAATGACGCGATCTCGGCTCACCACAACTTTTGCCTCCTGGGTTCAAGCAATTCTTCTGCCTCAGCCTCTTAAGTAGCTGGGATTACAGGTGTACACCACCACGCCTGGCTAATTTTTTGTATTTTTTAGTAGAGACGGGGTTTCACCATGTTTGCCAGGCTAGTCTTGAACTCCTGACTTCAAGTGATCCTTCTGCCTTGGCCTCCCAAAGTGCTGGGATTTCAGGCGTGAGCCACCGCACCCGGTCTGTATTTTTTTTTTTTTTTAAGTAGAGACAGGGTTTCGCCATATTGCCCAGGGTAGTCTCAAACTCCTGAGTTCAAGCAATCCACCCACCTCAGCCTCCCAAAGTGTGGAGATTACAGGTATAAGCTACCATGCATGATCTTCCATTTTCTTATTTAAGGCCAAAGACCCCCGACATGGTGACATTTCAGGGGGAAAGAATAAAGCTTCTCATTCCACGATGAAACCAGAGGGCCTGGGACACTTAAATTCATACTAAAGTGTAAATGACTTACTTCAAACTCTTTCTTGGGAGTAAGTGTGTGAGTTAGAGCAGGGAGAGAGCAACTGGGCACTGTAAGCCTGAAAGTGCAGGAGGGCAGAGGAGTTCAACTTGAGCCCCACTCCTCCGTCTGGGGGAACTTCCCCATTCCCAATTGTGCGAGGCCCTCCCCGCAACACTTGGCTTCCACTCTGGATTGGTGCTGGCATAGCTCCAAGCAGAGTGGATGGGAAGCAAAACAAACACCCCCAACCATCTGGGGCTGTTTAATGGCCTTTGGTGGCATCATCTGGGCATTTGTCACCCATCATAATGCACAGCTTGCTTTGGCCAAAGCAGCCCATCCTAGAAACTCCTCCAAGGGTTATCTGGCTGTGTAGAAGGTGGGATCTGATGAGGGGCAAGACAGGAGATCACTGGCTGGGGATGGGCCAGGGCTCATTCCATTTTCTGGCACAGGATGAGAGAGGTGCTGGGCTCACCCGAGAGAGTTGGTGCTGATGGGCATGAATTTACTCCTAATGATTATAATTGCATTTTTATAATTATAATTATAATTGAGCACCTAGTGTGTCCCAGAAGCTGTACTAAGCACTGGATATGCACCACCTCAACTCCTTTAATCCACACCCAGCTTTCAAGGTAAGGCTGATACTATTTTGTGATAGGGCCCAGTGTAAACCAGGAAGCATGCATGAGCCTGGCCTCTCAATGCTAATTCCAGCCCAGGGCTTCCTGTCCTCCCCACCCCAGGCAGGGAGGGGTGGCCCTCCATTCCAGCAACGTCTCCAGCAGGGCCTTGCAGGGCCCTGGTCCCATGTCTCCAGCCTAGAGGAGGGTGGGAAGCAGCCCTAGTTACTCACTGTGCAGGCTCCATCCTCGCTGATCCCACCCCTTTTGCCTTCCTGGTTGCTGCTGCTCCCTGCCCATCTCTCCCCTTGTTGAGGACTAATGTGTCCTGAGCCACTCGCTGACAATCCAGGTGTGAACCAACAATGAAGGTGCTGGATGGGAAGGGTTTTAAGGTGTGACTTCTCCAAGCCTCTTGGATTTGTAAAAAGCAGCACAGACAATAACAGTTTATGTCCTGATTATGAAAGCAATTCATGCCCTTCATAGAGAAGTCAAAGATACAGAAAGATATAAAGAAGGAAAAACCACATCCTACCACTTGGAGATAATTATCATCAATATTTTCAGGTGGTTCTTGCCAGTCATTTTCATATGTTTATATATAAATATATAATTTTAAGCAAAATTGAGATCATTTTAGCAATGTACTTTTGGATCAGTTCTTCCCACAAATTGTATCATGTGCGAGCACTTCTAAAAGGAATGCCTTGAAGGTAAAAGTCTTTTGGGGGCTGGATGTGGTGGTTCACACCTGTAATCTCAGCACTTTGGGAGGCTGAAGCGGGAGGATCCCTGGAGTCCAGAAGTTTTGAGACCAGCCTTGGCGAGACACTGTCTCTACAAAATAAAAATACAAAAAATTAGCTGGGCATAGTGGTGCGTGCCTGTGGGCCCAGTTACTCAGAAGGCTGAAGTAGGAGGATCACTTAAGCTCAGGAGTTCAAGGCTGCGATGAGCTAAGATTGCATCACTGCTACATGCCTGCCTAGGCAACAGAGAGAGACTCTGTCTCTCAAAAAAAAAAAAAAAAAAAAATTCTTCCTGAGTCAGATGGGTAGAATCAAGGAAAGGAGAGGATGTGGAGGTTTGATCAGCTGGGGGGCCCCCACCTTACCTTCACCCTGGGCCTCTGCCTGGGGTGGAGAGTGGAGAGTGACACCATCAGCTTGGGATGAGGGTGAGGGTGAGGGAAGAACCCTTTGCCACCCTGTTCACTCACCAGTTTCGGGGAGGTGGGGAGCCTCCCTGCAACATTCACCTGCCTTTGAGGTAGGAGCCTCTGGTCATGTCTCACCCCCACCCCATTGTAAGCCAGGTGCCCCCTCCCCCCGCACAGTCACCCCCTCCCCTGCCCCACCTGGTTTCCTGTTTGTGTGTGTGTGTGTGTGTGTTGAGGGAACATGTCACAGAGGGACAAATGGGCTGGCTTCTGGATCCTTGAGGCACTCTAGTGGCGGGGGCAGGGCACCCTTGGCCAAGGCATTTCCTGTCTCTTGAGAAACAAGCTGCCTTTTGGCCGAGACCACAGAGCTACTGATCCCCATTAGCTGTTTTCCTAGAAGTGAAAATGGATTTGCTCTGAGTTCTGTCATCCCTTGTGACCCAGGGCTCACAGAGGCCGGGCCAAGAGCACAGGACTCACCACCCAATGGAGCCATGCTAATCTACCCTCAAGGGGACCTGGGCTTAATGCCAGCCTTGTGAGTATGCTCCCTGGCTCCTTCCTCTAACCACCTGACGATGACAAAGCTCTAGAAAGGTGTGACAGTTTGGTGCTTCCCTGGAAGGTCATCCATTCATCGGTGCCAATAGAGGATGCCCTGCTAGACCACAGTGGTTAGAATCCAAGAGACCTGAGTTAGAGTCCCACCTCTGACCCTGGCTGGGCCACCTTGGACAAGTTACTTAACCCTTCTGAGTTCTGCTTTAAATGGCATACATACCACATCTCCCACAGTACCCGAAACACAGCAGGCACTCCATAAATGATCATTATTGTGTCTTAAATTGACTCCTAACTTTTGGCAGCAAATATTATCACCCCATTTTGTGGAGGGGGCCACAGAGGCTCAGAAAGGTTCACCAGTGCTTCAGTTCCTTTTTACTGTGCAAAAACTACCCCAAATCTTAATGGCTTAAAATGACAATGAATGATAATTTCTCATGATTCCATAGATTAATTGGGTAGTTCTTGGGCTCCATATGGTGTCAGCTGGGGTCTCTCATGGGGATACAATCAATTGGCAGCTAGATTGGGCTGGAAGGTCAAAGAAGGTCTCTCACATGATTGGGACCTTGGTGCTGGCTGTTGGCTGGGTGGCCTGAGCTCTCTTCTTCATGACCTTTTCATCTGGCTGGCTTGGGCATCTTTAAGTATGGCAGCTGGGCTTCGGGAGCGAGTGTTCCAAGATGACAACCCTCAATATGCAAGCAATTATCCTTCCTCTGCTTTTCCTCATGCTCATTAATATTCCATTGGCCAAAGAAAGTCACATGGTCAAACTCATAGTCAACACACGGGATGTGGGAGGCATGGCTCCTAGGGGACTGCCTGTGTAACAGTCTAGCCACAAAAGCTTGCCTCGGATGCCACGGCCATTGACTGATATAGCTGGGATTTGAACCCAAGCCTGTCTGACTCCAGATCTACGCTCCTTCCTCAAGTATTGGTTGAGGCTGGCGTTTGTGGTTCCACTGCCTGAACCTAGTGGTTAGGCGATTTTCCATCTTGTCTCCAGCCTACCTGTGTCCCTGGTACTCTCTGTGATGGTCTTATCGTACCTCTCCTGCTCCCGACAGAGGGGAGAGAAACACCCTTCTTCTGCCGGGCTCCCCCTGCCCTTTACTCCTCCGTGTTGACTGCAGAGATCTACCCCTGCTTCCTCCAGAGTCCCAGAGAGGTTAGTGGTGGCCCCATCCTTTCTGACCCCTCCTGCAGCAGCAGCAGCCTGGCTCTGCAGGCCTCATGACCCACATGCCCTTCTGGGCCTCAGCTCAATTTTCAAGGGTACTTTTATTGGGAAAGTGAGGGATCACGAGAACAAAGACAACATCCTTGAGATAAGCCCAAGTTTACAGCATGCTGTCGTCATCCCAATGGACTTCCCGTCTCCCTACCAGCTGGGCTGTCTTCTGAGATGGGCCCCCTCCCCTGACCCCTGTCTACACTCAGCCAGAAGCTGATTTGAGCTGGTCCCACGGTGCTGCCTGTGGGAACCCAAGCCCTTCCTGCTCCTATCTGCCTCTGGCTGGATGACGCCCTGGGCAATTCCGCCCACTGGTTTGACCCCAGGCCCCAAACCTAGGTGAGGAACGCCCTCCTCACAGTCCTTCCCTGCTTCCAGTTCAGTGTTGACAGTGAGCAGTGCTCGCTTTGCTACGGCTAGGCCCTCACTCTCCTCTCTTTTCAAGGCCCCAAGAGAGTAAGCCATTTATTCACACCCTATCTTGACGCAAAGCCGGGGCCTTGAACCTGGGGCACTGCTTTCAGCCATTATTCTTGCAGAGGCCGCAGTGCTCCTAGCCTGCATTTTTGGAGTCTGAGCAGGGCCCACAGCTGTTTTGCCTCAGCTAGGAGTGAAGGCTGACAAAGAGCAAGGTCTCTGGAGAAAGAGGAAATGTTTTCTGGATGCCGAACTGGTGACTGTGGGGGGTGTGGGGCAGCGGGGAGGGAGGGGCTCTCACTTGTGCCCAGGGAAAGGTCATGGTCAATGAGAAAGCCTTTGATGGGGAGAGTCTGAGATGAGACCCAGGAACATCACCACGCAGCTGTCCAGGAAAGATGTGGGACCCTCTGTCAGACCAGGCCAGTTCTCTTAAGGTAAGATCAGCAGGCCAAGGTCCTGGGATGTGGGAGCTCCTAGGAAGTGGACTGGGATGCCTGAGGGATCCAAGAATTAGCAGTGTCCTGTGTGGTCTCGCTGAGAGAAGCCAGGCAAATTCTAGCAGCTCAGCTGTAACAGCCAGAGCTCTTGGCTCCAAGCAACAGGAAACAATTCTGGCTTATTTAAGCAGAAAAGGACTTTATGAAAAGGATCTTGGGGAACTCACAAAATAACCAAGAGGGCTGAAGAATCCAGTTTGGTGAGCCGACCAAGGAGGCTGTACAGCAGTCAGGACCACAGCCAAAGTCGGGCCAATCCAGGGATGACCTCGCTGCCAAGTCCAGGACTCCCTGGCATACACTGCCACCTTGGGACATGGATATGGTCCCTGCTGCCCCAGGAAATGGAATGCCATTGCCTTGGTGACTGCCACCGTCCACCAGAATGGACTTCAGTGCTCCTTGCATCTCAGTATTACCAGTTCCCAACTCCAAGCCTTTAATAGGGGCATCTGATGGGTTGAGCCTAAGGCAGGAGCCTATGCCAACTGCAATGGCGGCTGTGAAAGTGCCTATCTGGGATTTTTAGCTTCTCTGGTGGGAGGCAACTAGGAAGATGGAGGATTCTCCAAATATGGGAGGAGAGGTTGGAGGCTAGATACCTCACCTGGAAAAATGCAGGGCAGCTGAGTGTTGGAGAAACGTGTCTCCAGAGACAACCTGTGCATGTATTCCCCCTCCTCCAGATGTCGATGTCGGGGGGCAGGGGGGTGAGGTCAGGAAGTATACAACGTGGGGTTGGGAACCCTGGGTTTGATTATGAGTCTCCTCTGCCTGTCAACTTGAGATAAGCTATTCACAATCCTGGGGCCTCAGTTGTACCTCAGTGCCTTTGAGCATGCAGAAGGAGTGTGCTAGCTTTTGCTGTCGTGTGGGCCCTCTGGCCGAATGATGCCCCAAGACTGCCAAAGCCCCAAATGGAATGGGGCTGTTTGCTCAAGGTAATGATTGAAAGTACGGGTTTTGGAGTCAGGGAGATTGGGGTTTACCAGCCATGTGCCTTTGGATGTGTTCTTTAACCTCTCTGAACATTAGTTTCCTTATCTGCAAAATGTAGGCATGGTGGCAGGCACACAGCCTCCCTTCCAACCTTGTCCTATGGTGCCCCCATGGTCTGCAGAGACTGAAAGGCTAAAAACTGGATTTCCCAGACACCTTTGCAGCTGGGACTGTGGATGAGAATTCAGTTTTACCAGTTAGATGCACTCGTGTGAAGTTAGGATGGCAGATGTGAGGCAGAGCCCACAATTCTTGCCTGCTGCTCTGGCTGTACCTGCTGGAGGTGTGTGTGTGTGAAACAACATTCTAGTGTTTGCTCAGTTACCAGCTTTGTGGGTGTTGAGAGGGGTTGTGGTGGCAGTGGCTTCCTGATCCTTGGATCACAGCTATGGTAGTGCACTCTGGAAATCTACATTTCCAGAGGCGGGCTCCCTCACGCCCCACCTTTCTGATAGTGGAAGAGATGGCAGTAATCTTGGCGGACCAGTTCAGTGGTGTTGTTTTGGGAGCCCAGAGACTGACTGCTCCTCCTGCACCCTTCCAATAATTTTGTCAGTACCTAATTTCCTGTGTTAAATCTCTTCTTGCTTAAAATAGCTGGAGAGGTTCTCTCTTTCCTGCAATTGAACTCCAACTGCTGTCAGGGTAACCCCCATTTGCTCCCAAGGTTATTGATGGAATGAAACGAGATGATAAATCCCTTTATGTATGCTAGGTATTTGTCTTTTTCTTTTTCTTTTTTTTTCGAGGCAGAGTCTCGCTCTGTCGCCCAGGCTGGAGTGCAGTGGCGCGATCTCAGCTCACTGCAAGCTCCGCCTCCTGGGTTCACGCCATTCTCCTGCCTCGGCCTCTCGAGTAGCGGGGACTACAGGCACCGTCACCACACCTGGCTAATTCTTTTGTATTTTTAGTAGAGATGGGGTTTCACCATGTTAGCCAGGATGGTCTCGATCTCCTGACCTCGTGATCCACCCACCTCGGCCTCCCAAAGTGCTGGGATTACAGGCATGAGCCACCGCGCCCGGCCTGCTAGGTGTTTTTCAAAAACAGGTCTCTTTTTTTCAGAGGTGACTAAATGTGATAGAAACCCTTGTGACAAGCCACCCTAATTTGTACAAGCTCTCAGCCAGTTGTTTTACATAGAGTTGCTGGGGCAGGAAACAACCTGAAAGAATTCAGATTCTTTGGGTGGGTCGCCTGCTTTCAAAGGCTCATCAAGTCCTTGTACTTATTCAGGGGGAGTTCTGCCTCCCTGCCTACCATTAGAGTAATGACTGGCACCACAGGCATGGCACAGGCAGCTGGGAAAGGTGACAGGCTTCCTGGTGTGAGCCCAGAAGTTCAGCTGCCAGAGATCCTCCTCCGTCTGTGACTGTGCTCCACCATGATCACTACTAGTTCGTGTTAAAGCACACTGTTTAGGCTGGGCGTGGTGACTCACGCCTGTAATCCCAACACTTTGGGAGGCTGAGGTGGGTGGATCACTTGAGGTCAGGAGTTCCAGACCAGCCTGGCCAACATGGTGAAACCCCGTCTCTACTAAAAATACAAAAATTAGCTGGGTGCGATGGTTCACACCTATAATCCCATCACTTTAGGAGGTCGAGGCAGGCAGATCACTTCAGGCCAAGAGTTCGAGACCAGCCTGGCCAACATGATGAAACCCTGTCTATTCTAAAAATACAAAAATTAGCAGGGGTGGGGTCATGCGCCTGTAGTCTCAGCTACTCAGAAGGCTGAGGCAAGAGACTTGCTTGAACCCGAGAGCCGGAGGTTGCAGTGAGCTGAGATCGTGCCACTGTACTCCAGCCTGGGCGACAGAGTGAGACTTCATCCCCCTCCCCCCAAAAAAATTTTAGCTGGGCGTGATGGCGTGCACTTCTCATCTCAACTACTTGGGAGGCTGAGGCAGGAGAATCACTTAAACCCGGGAGGCAGAGGTTGCAGTGAGCGGAGATGGTGCCACTGCACTCCAGCCTGGGCGACAAAGCAAGACTCTGTTTCCAAAAAAAAAAAAAGAAAAGAAAAGAAAAAAGCACGTTGTTTAATTCCTGCCTCCTCCCAGTTAATCTCCACGCGATATTTACAAAACCTTCCCCTCCCCTCCCATGAAGAACAGGCTGACAAAAGATCTTGCTTTCTGTGGTGAAGAATGTTCTCATGGCCATGGCATTGGCCTCCTGAGTTAGGAGTTTCCAGAGAAAACAACTGAGAGGATGTAAATTGTACAAGGACAGGTTGCTTGGGGAGAAGTTCAAAAGACAAGGCTGGGCTTGGAGGACTGGGCCACCCATGCAGAAGGGCGTTGGGTGCTGCGAAAGGAGAGGAACACAGAACTGGAGAAAGGGTGTGAAAGTAAAGGGGGATCTTGGAAAGCCCACCCCCCCGCCCCCGACCCTGTTCAGTGGACAGAATGCTTCTCTCCCCTCATAGATCCAAATCCTTCATCTTCCCATCTCACCCTCTTGCTCTCTGTCATTCGATTTCCTGCCACAAAATGGGGACCCTCTGTGGAGTGAGGAACCAGGCAGGTGGCCCTAGGGGCCTCCAAGCTGGGTGGAAGCTGGGCTGGGGTTGGTTGCCGGAACAATCCAGGCTCCACTCCAGCCCATAGGGGGCTTGAGGCTGGGTGGGTGTGATAAACTGTTTCAGTGGTTTTCAGGAGCCCTAATCAATTGCGAGGCAGAGCAAAGCCCTCTGGGGACAGATAAAGCCAGCCCTGTGTCAGTGCCCAGTTGGAGTTTGTGTGGTTTGAACTTTTGTGTGGTTTGGACAAGTTCACCGGGTTTTGCTGGGGCGGTTTATTCTGTTTCCAAACTGCAGTAGAGGGAGGCAAACGGCCCTTGGACCCTACAAGCCACTCCTGAAATGCGATAGGTGGCCTCTCCTCTCTCCCGCATGGTCCCAAAGGCTCAGGGAAGAGAGGCCGGGCAGGTCCAGGCCACAGCGTTCCTGGTTCCCGCCGGTGGCTCCGGGTGTAGACATTTCTAGAAACGCTCCCCCACCCAAGGCTGGCTAAACCTTCCCGTTGGGGAGCTGAGCTGCTGCAGGTTTGACTGTCTGCTCCCGCTTCCAAACTAGAAAGACGAATGCCCACTTTCGGATTCCATCTTCTGCCACGGACGCCTCCGGGACGCGCAGCCGCCCGGCGCAGAGGAAGCCCGGGACGCTGGGGACACCGCCTGGAGCCTCCGCGCATAGCACCGGGGCGTTTTTTTCCTTCCAGCTGGAGGCTTCCCATTTAACCTCGAAAGTGCCAGAAGATCCGGATCTCTGGCGGGCAGGCCTTTGGCTGGCTCTGGGCGAGGCTGGGACCCCAGATCCGAGTGCCTCTGGCGAGCACTCGGCGTGCAGATGTCTTGGGGGGCCTATACGCTGGAGAGGAAGTCTGCCCAGCGAGGTGGACGGACACTGGGCCCTCGGGGACCCATCTGACAACGCCTGGTTCCCTGGGAAGCCTGTGCGAGCCTGCGGGGGGCCAGGGCAAAATAGAACCAGGAACATGTGTTGTTTGGGAGGGAAGCCGGGGCGCATGGCATGTCTCAATAGTGCTGGCACCCTCCAGGGACCTTCCTGCTTCCACAGAAGGTGGGGACGGGGAGGCGAGCATGGAGAGAGAGAAAGGAAAGTGGGAAGAAATTGGTCACGGAGGAAGCTATTTTTATGCTTTGCTACAGCTGCGTGCGTTTCTCTGACCAACTAGGCAGCGAAAATTAGACCGGCTCTGGCTGAAAACAGGCCCTAAACCTCACCGGGGGGTGGGGGTAGTGGGACACGCGCAGGAAAGGGGAGGAGAGGGGGAAATCCCCTTGGATCTGGCAAACCCCAGTGTCCCGGAAGCTGTCAATGCGCAGCGAACAAGCTCCCCTGCCCTCCCCGGCTCCAGATGCCTCAACCTTCACCTTGGATGTCGGAGGCATCCTTTCCCCTCTGTGTCA